GGAGAGGGAGGGGGCGGTGCCATCAGGGCAGGCCAGGGGAGGTGCCAGGGCAGGCGCAGGGAGGCAAGCAGGCCAGGTGAGGCGCTGGGCAGGGGTGCGGCACACAGAAAGAGCGCACCGGCGCAAAAAAGCCTCCCACACACACACACACACACACCTTGATGGCCTCCTCAAAGATGTACTTCTTGGACAGGCCACTCAGGTCCCTGCGGCATACAGCGGCACAGGCAGGGGCGCCGTGGACGGCCCCCCCCAGGCAAGCAGGCGGCAGCCCAGGCAGGCGGCAGGCGGGGCCAGGCTGGCGCCCCGCGGGCGGCCTCCACCCCACTCACGCGACCGCCGCCAGCGGCTCCCATGCCGCCTGCTCGTCCAGGATGAGGAAAGGGCGGCCCTGGAACGCGCCGCCCCGGTGGCGCCCCAGCGAGGCGTACGGGAAGCGGCGCAGGTAGGCGTGGAGCAGGGTTGCGGCCTGGTGGGAGACGTCTGCAGGGTGGGGTGGGAGGTGACCACAGCGCGCACAGCAGCGCGTTGTGGTGGGGGCAGGGGATGCCTTGCTGGGAGCAGGCGGGCGGGCACGTGGGAGGCCCCAGGAGGGAGGCAGCCGGGGGCGGCAAGCCAGGGTGGTGCGGCGGTGCGGCAGCCCTGCTCAGCCCCGGTGTGGTGCCAGCAGCTGACCTCCCATGGCGTGGATGACGTCGCTGCGCAGCACCAGCACCAGCAGCTCCAGCTGGCGCGCCTCAAAGGCGGCGTCGTGCCTGAAGGCCTGCTGCTGCAGGTGGCGGAAGACGTCCAGGTAGCGCACGGCTGCGGGGGGTGGGGGGTGGGGGAGGGAGGAGGGGCAGGTGGGTGCTGGGAGCTGCAAGGTGCTGCTGCACCGGCGGGCCACCTTGTGTTGTGCCCTGCACCCTGCACCCCGAGAAGGGCATACTGGCGCCTGCTGCCTTGCCTCCTCTCCCCCCTGCCTCGCCTGCAGCGTCCAGATCGGCATCTTCCTTGGAATAGCCTGCGGCGGCGGCGCGCCGAGCCTTCAGGCTGCTGCCGCCGACGGCGGTGGCGGCGGCGGCGCCCTTGCCGGGCGAGCCGTCGCGCAGGCCGTAGCACTTTTCCGACCATGCCTGCAGGTACTTGTCGCCCTGGCTGGTCAGCTCCTCTGTCAGCCGCCGGTCCAGCAGGTCGCGGCGCCGCGGCTGCTCAAGCACCAGCTCGGTGGCGGCGGCAGGGGCGCCCCGCGCCAGTGCCGCCGCTATGCCCGGCTGGCTCGTGCGGAGCCTTCTTGGCGGCGGCGGGCGCTGGGGCTCGGCATCCGCCGACTGCCCGCTGCTTCTTGACCATTGCTGCCACCTGGTGCCGCCCCGATCGATGCAGAAGGCGAGTGGCCCTGCGCCTGTGTGCTGTCCGCTACTACTGCTACTACGTATG